CCCCGCGCGCGCTGTGCGACCGCGTCTCCGCGCAGTTCCGCCGGCTGTTCCGGGACGCGGGCGTCGCCGCCACCGACTTCATCCGCACCACCGAGGCTCGGCACCGGGCGGCCGTGCAGCACTTCTGGGGCGTCCTGGCGGCCCGCGGTCTGCTCTACAAGGGGCTCTACGAAGGCTGGTACTGCGCCTCCGATGAGTGCTTTCTGCCGGACGCCAAGGTCACCCGGCAGCCGGGCCCCGCGGGGGAGTCGTGTCCCGTGTCCCTGGAGAGCGGGCACCCCGTCTCCTGGACCAAGGAGGAAAACTACATTTTCAGGCTGTCCCAGTTCCGGGAGCCGCTCCGGCGGTGGCTGCGAAGCAACCCGCGGGCGATCGTGCCCGAGCCGTTCCATCACGCGGTCCTGCAGTGGCTGGAGGAGGAGCTGCCCGACCTCTCGGTGTCTCGCAGGAGCAGCCACTTGCCCTGGGGCATCCCGGTCCCCGGGGACGACTCGCAGACGGTCTACGTGTGGGTGGACGCGCTGGTCAACTACCTCACTGTCATTGGCTACCCGAACGCTGAGTTCAGGTCCTGGTGGCCGGCCGCATCCCACATCATAGGTAAGGACATTCTCAAATTCCACGCCATCTATTGGCCCGCCCTCCTCCTCGGGGCCGGACTGAGCCCTCCGCATCGCATCTACGTCCACTCGCACTGGACTGTGTGTGGCCAAAAGATGTCCAAGAGCTTGGGCAACGTGGTGGATCCCATGGCCTGTCTCGATCGCTACACTGTGGACGGCTTCCGCTACTTTCTCCTTCGGCAGGGCGTTCCCAGCTGGGACTGTGACTACTACGACGAGAAGGTGGTTAAGCTGCTGGACTCCGAGCTGGCCGATGCCCTGGGAGGCCTTCTGAGCCGGTGCACTGCCCGCAGAATCAATCCCGCTGGCACCTACCCAGCCTTCTGCCCCTCCTGCTTCCCCAGGGAGCCGGGGGCGCAGGGGCCGGCGGTGCGCGCCCAGGCGGAGGACTATGCTCTTGTGAGCGCCGTGGCTGCTCTGCCCAAGCAAGTAGCCGACTGCTATGAGAACTTCCAAATCTATAAGGCCCTGGAGGCGGTGTCCAGCTGTGTCCGGCAGACTAACGGTTTCGTCCAAAGGCATGCCCCGTGGAAACTGAGTTGGGAGAGCCCGGCGGATGCTCCCTGGCTGGGGACTGTGCTTCATGTGGCCTTGGAATGCTTACGAGTCTGTGGCACTTTGCTCCAGCCGGTTACCCCAAACCTAGCGGATAAGCTGCTGTCCAGGCTGGGGGTCTCTGCCGCAGAGAGGGGCCTCGAAGAGCTCTCTTTCCTGCCTCGATTCTATGGACACCAGTGCCCTTTTGAAGGGAGGAGGCTGGGTCCCGAAACTGGGCTTTTGTTTCCAAGACTGGACCAGTCCAGGGCTCGGATGGTGAAAGCTCAGGGGACCTAGAGGCACAGTTCTTACTGGTTTGTGGTAAAACTGCAAATGTTGTTTTTTCTTTTCAGGAACATTATACTAGTGTTTTCTAAAGTGTTGCGTCAGATGAACACAAGCTGTTTCCCTGCGACAGAGCCTTCAGGTGCCTCCCCTCTTGGTTTGCCCATTAACCACTGTCTTTGTCCACTACTACGTCTAACACTTCTGCAGGAGAGATGGGGAAGAGACGGGTGCTGATACTATTCCTTTCATTGTACCGCTCTCCAGCCAGTTATTTGTGCAATCTACCTCTTAGGGTGTCTGCCTCTCAGGCTGATTAGTACAGTGACATCTTGGAGAGTAGGGGTTGGAGGCCCCCACCCTTAGCTTTTACAGGTTACCCCTACTTTGTTGTATGTACTGGGTCTTCTGTAAAAGCGGTTGTTTTATTAAACTTTAAAAACTAGTGCTCTAGACAAGATGAGCTTTGCTCACATTCACCCCTATACTTTATAGAGCCCTTCAGCCAGGACTCACTGGACCGACAGTCATGTCCTGAACATTACATGTCCACTAGTAGGGGGCTGTGGTCTCACACGTGTAATTCACATTGAGATTTCAGAATATTTAAAATAGTTTTCTGCTTTCTGATCTCAGATCTTTCACTTATTTTAAGGGATAACTGCAACCACTGTAGTTTTAACAGAAAGCAATAAAATAGAATTCTCAGTTTCTTAGAGACTACTGAAAAATGAAACAAGTGTTTCACATGGTTTATACGATAAACTATAAAGCTTGAGGCACTTGGTATATTAAAAATTTCCAACTTTAATAACAGGTAACAGGTATGACTAATCTGTACAGACTTCAAGAGAGCAATATTCTCTTTGTTCTTAGTCTTTTGTTATCCACATAATTTACCTCATGATTCCTTTTGGTTAATCGAGATCTGTAATACAATGTAGAAACTGTGTAATAGTTGCTGAAAATGGTAACACTTGAATTTCAAGTAGTTTTCTGATTATTTGTTTTGCTCTTCTAACTTATTAAAGTTTAAACGTTTTAAGTACGTTTTTAGATCTGTTCTAGAGGATCTGTTGAAGGTGAGGGTGGAGGGAAGAACCGATCAGTGCTCCAGGAATCTCAGGAATCTCTGGACTTGGGGATCTCTCCACAGCTGCCCAGGAGAACCTCCCAGAGATTTTAAGATAGCAGTTTATGCAGTGATTCAACCTAGGAAACCAGTGTGACCTAGGTGACTGGACAGCTATGAGGAATCTAAACGAGAACTTCCCTAGGAAAATCTAAGTGGTAGCAAGCGAACACTTGTGTTAGCAGTTCCCCTGGGTTTATTCTAGCTACCACTGTTCAGCTCCAGTTTGTTTATTAATCAGCAAGGTAAGGGATTCCTCGTTCTCGGAAAACAATGCTTAAAGGCCTTCTGAGGGTGGAAGGACCATTTCTGCAAAGTGTTCCTCCGGGCTCCCCGCCTGCTCGTTACTCTGGGCTTCATATGATGTGTTGGTGTTACAGGAACAGACTTCTAGGCATAGCAGGAAGCATCTCCCAGGGCTGGAAGAAGCAGAGACTGGTGAAAGACGGCACGTGTTCACACGAAGGAAGGAAAACGTGGAAAAGTAGTGAGGCGATCCTCTGTGCCCGGACAGCTGCACGAGTTCCTGCTAGGGCTGGAGACAACAGTATCTTTCCCTTGAAGGATCTTTCTTGTGGCCCAGAACTGGTCATGCACTGGTGCTTGGCTTGCTGGAGGGGGTTAATGGAGTCCGTCTCGTGTAGCCTGTCACTTGTGCAGGACTTAACTGGCCTCTCTAGGACATCTGTGGTTAAGGTACAGAAAGCAGAACCAGAACAGAGAGAGCAGAGTCATTAGAGAAGATGGGATATTTTGAGTATGGCAGTTGGTAAGTTGGGTCTGTTGTGATCAGCTGGTGGTAAATACCACTGTCCTTGGATCAGCCAGGTAAGTTGAACCTGACTTCTATGGTGATAGGAAAGGTGATCCAGATTCTCCATAGTGCAGTAGCACAGCATGTAAAGCAGGTATTTAAAAAAGAAATTTAAAATTTAAACATTTAAAAAATGCTGAGATGCTAATGCAAGAGTCATTATTAAAAACTGACAATTAAGATTGCTTTTCCTGTGTTGGGGATGGAACGTGGGCCTGTTGTAGTAGCCAAGCGCTCTACCACTGAGCCACATCCCCAGCCCAACAGTTAAAATTTCCCTAAAGTTCAAAGAGCCTGAAAAATACATCTTTGGTCTGCTGGGTCATTAATCCACACTTCTCCTTCAGATATTCTGGCTTTTCTTCCAGGACTTAAATTGTAAGGATGGTTTTTGGCCATAAGCTCTGTGTTTAGGTGTCTTGGGTCACTTTGACAAGCCAGCACTTTTGGAGTAATAGCCTTAAGAACAAATGAAGAAGAATGACGCATGTTCTCTACATTCTGGACATCAGGGTTAGGAATCTAACTGGCAGCACTAGGAAGTTTTTCACTTGGTTCCAAACTTAAAAAAGTAAGTTTTGGAAGATTAACTAGCTCACTGTCTGCAGTAGTTCTGTTGACAGCCTCCTGTTCCGTGAGCCTTTGACTGCAGCTTTACTCGTTACTACATTTAGTTATGAAGGTTATGGTTTGTTGTTAGGAGAGACTGATACATCATAAAAAATGCCCTAGAGAATGTACAGTGGACCCTTGACTTAGGAACTCTTGGTGGTCGGCCGCAACCCACATCATAGGTAAGGACATTCTCCAATTCCACGCCATCTATTGGCCCGCCCTTCTCCTCGGGGCCAGATTGAGCCCTCCACGTCGCATCCCTTGACTTAGGAACTCAACCCGTTTCCCCGGGCTGTGACTCAGGTTGTCGATTGAAGGCTCAGGCTCCTCTGCACAACCTGCAGTCTCTCTTGTGCACAGGCAGATCTCAGTATCCTTAGACGTTGGCCCAGGATTTCTCCATTAACCCCATACAGAAAAGGAGGTTGTGTTGTTCCTACCAGAACTCTTGAAGTGTTAAATCTGTAGCTGAGACCATCTGGAAGCACAAATGGCCAGTACTGAAGTCATCACTCAAGACTGGTCATAAAATGCTGGTCATAACCCAAGTTGTTCGTATGTCAGGTGGGTCATAACTTGAGGGTCCACTGTATTTTAGAATACCTTTATAAGTTACTTAGCCTTCGGAGTAAAGACTCTTTAATCTTAGTAAATTAGAATTAACTTTTAATATTTAAATTTCTATAAAACTTTGTGGCAATTCTGTGCATGTTACATGAAAAGCAGAACTTTTAGTACTGTTTTATTTTTACTGTGTTTTTTGCAGTGCTGGGGCCTGAACCTAGAGCCGCATGTTAGCTAAGTGCTGTATCACCGAGCTACATACTTGCCCAGGTTTTATTTTTACCTCATTCCTGGAATGCAATTAAATAAAATTACAATGTGTAAGAATCCTGTTTTGGTATTACAGAAGAAAACTGTAAGTACTGACATAAAATTCAGTGTTAGAGTATGTATGAGTTAGGTGAAAGCTGATAGGTGGATTTTCATGCCAGTCTAAGGGTTGGAAGGAGTACTTTTTACTTGGCCATAAAGTATTTTTAACATTCATTATAACATTGTATGTTATAATCCAAAAGGGTGTGGTGGTGCATGCCTATAATCCCAGTACTTGGGAAGCTGAGGCAGGAGGATCGCTGTGAGTTTAAGGCCAGTTTGGGCTACATAAGCAAGTTCAAGGTCAGCCTGCACTACATAATGAGACCCTGTCTGACCTAGTATAAAAAAATAACGGTTAATCCTCAAAGCTCAGGATATACTTTTCAAATTTAATCAAGGCATTTGTCTTACTGGTGTAGTTTTTGTTCTCTTCGTTACAGGTTATAAGTCTGCATTACTTAAATGTATGAAATAATAAAGGAAATTATGATTTAATCCAGTACTTTCAGTGTTTTGGTGCAAAGATTTAATTCCCTTTAAAAAAACCAAAAACACATTTAACTTTAAGCACATTCTAAATCCTTATTTGTTACTAAACCACACGTGGGCTAGTTATTTTCTATTGCTGGATAAAATATTTATCCAAGATAAAGTGGGTTACTTTAGAACCTGCTGTTGGACAGGGAGGCATCCTGAACCTATAAAGAGACCCATTAGGACGGGCTGAGAAAAGCCGTATTTAGTGATATTTTTAAATTACCAGTTGTACTTCCTTTGTCTCATCACGAAACTTTGACAAAGATTTGTAAGAATAGAATTTATGTAGTAGGATACGTAAAATCAGAATCAGATCCTACTGGTAAGAAAGCAACTACCCAGACAAAATCAGGGCATTACTAATGACAACATCACGTTAGGTTACGTTGAGAATGGCACTTTATCCTGCATTAAGTAAAGCATCCAGCGAACAGACCGCGCCAGCAGTGATCTCCATTTGGCCCGCTGCTGAACACAAGCACTGCGGGACGTGCTGCCTTGCTTGAGACTCCGAACAGGGTGAGTCAGCTGACATCTGTGCTGATGCAGCGCCTACTTCACAGTGGCATGGTAGGGCCCAAGCTTTTGCCTAGAAGCCTCATCCCTTGTTCTGCTTGCTTTAAATGATGAGTTTGAATACTGTGATTTAAGAAGACTGCATGTAGCAAGAAGGCAGAACTTGTATCCTACTAAAGCTGAGTAAGTTTTGAAGTAGCACCTCCTAGCCTGCCCAGCCTGTATCTGACAACAAAAATTGGAAATAGATGTTTTTATTAGTTCTTCTAAACACTTAAGAACTTACAGTTAAGAAAAACAAACTCAGGTTTCTAAGATTAGAAAGCAAAACTCTAGAGAAGCATGCTTGGGTATACGTAAGTGTAATTTCCATGATAAGGAGACCTACACCACTCTACTGACTCCTGAGGCTACACACATACACTTAACAGGCAATGCTAAAATAAGTGTCAAGGGTAGGCCATAAAAACAATGGCTCATTGTAAACGGCCTATCAGATCTACATGCTTCTAGAGTTAATGTTTCAAACTGTGCAGTGAACCAGACAATGTTCACATCACTTCAGGGTACCTTGTGAAATTACAGAATAGTCTTCTCTCTCAAAAGGAAACACACTATGAAGTACTGTAATCATTACAGACAGTTTATTGACATCAATGTTGTGAGAAAACTGACATCAGGTTATATTTAGCGTTAGGCACTTTTACAATTTTTGAGCTGAAACTAGAGACAATTATGATAATGACCGCTGTATTTAGAATTGCATCAAATTATAAAAAATAAGCAGTGACATGGAGATATATATATATCTTGAATAACCTTTTCCAAAAGTAGCAAACGTTACATAGATTCTATACAAAGATAGATAAATGCCTACATTGTAGCTATTAAGGAAGAATGGAAAACAAACAGGACATTTGTTTTTGTTGGACTTTGATTTTGAAAACACATGGCAATACCATGTTTCCAAGATTAAATGACAGGCTATTAAAGTCTTTCTGAGGTACTTTAGAAGCCCTTTTGTCTCACCTTACGTTCTGTACATTTCTCAGAATGCTGACTTGTACAGTGGTTTCAGAGAAAAATTTCCATGGGCATTCTAAAAAGGTAAAATTCTAGAGTAACTGTATTTCCACTGTATGATTAGGGAGCTGGTCTATTCTTAGGTTACTGATAAAAATGTAATTAAACATTTTCATGTTTACTATAATTTGTTTCCTTATTTTAGAATTGAAGTATTTTCTGATTCAGACTTCCACTGCCTAAGAGATTAGAATAGACATTTTAGTAAATGAAAGTGGTCCACATTTACTGGACAGAACACAAATTATTTCCAAAAAGTACTGTTTTTAAAGACTCCTGTCTCTCATCCCTCCCCCCACCCCACTTCCCAAGAGCATTTGGCTCCTTACAGTTGATTATTTTTAGTAGTCAGAGGTTTGATCTATTAATTACATGTGGGGATTTATCAGTTGCTTGCTTGATACTTTTTACAAAGCAACAGAACATCTGTTACAAGCTGCAAAGACCCATTTGTTAAAAGCTGAGAACATGTCTCTTGCCTGAGCTCCCCAGTCCAGACACCTGACACTGGTGCCACATGGCTGTTCTGATTCATGTCTACTTCCTCACTGTTTTTACCCATGCACGCACGTGCACGCACACCTGTGTATAATAAAGCTCTCACAGCCAGGCATTTCTATGAATGGACTTCACTATAGATAACCACAAAGCCTAAAGCTGCAGAGGATCCAGACTATATTCAAATGGATGTAGCAAAACAGAATGATGGTACAATGGAGTGTCTGACAATTAAATAGTATGAAATATTTAAGGATGAACTTAGAAATATTTTTATCTAAAATGTGTCATGAGTGAAAGTTTGTTAAACACCACAGGCCCTCCTAACAGGGAATATACTTTACTGAGCTAACTCTCAGCTGTGACAGATCCAGTCCTCCCAAATACAAGTCTGCTCAAGAGCAATAGGAAATGTCTGCGTTTCATTATTACCTAGGATTGTAGCCAAGACATCCTTTATAAAGGAAACACGGTAGTGCTTTTAAAATAAAAATATACAAAAAAAATTGTGTTAACATAGCCTTCCTAATTCCACTAATCTTTAGGATTTAGTCACAAAAAGTAATTCTCTGCCTGTCACCTTTCAAATTTATCTCAAAATATATAATATGTAAAGCAAAATTAATTGAGGATTTAAAGGCTATTGTACTCCATGTTCAAGTACAAGTGGCTTGGTTCTCTTTCATACCTGTACTTCCAAAATGCTTCCGCTATCATTATTAGGAACCACTGTGGAAAAACTCAAAGGTTTAAGAAGATAAAGGGGTTCAGAGATGGAAGAAGGAAAAAGTTTTAAAAACCATGGTGGTACTCTGAAGTATGAATGAGATGCACTTAATCTGGATTAATTAAGCCAAAATATCTTTCCCCATACTGCCTGAAGTTTGTATTACATTATATTGTGGAAAATTCTACCAAATGGGATTAAATCTTTTGGGTTAATGGACACGGTTTCTAATCATTTTTTAGGGAAATCAGACAGGGTAAGATACTTTTTCTCTCTTGCTTTTGAGAAACTTTCATATAGCTCAGTATCAGCATTTTTCATACAGACCTTATGAATTTAAACATTATTTATAATATGGTTGGAACTGGGCAAAGCTCTTACAATATTAAGTATTCCTAATTGCATTTTAGCTTAATGCTTTATTTGCAAATGAAAACAGAAATGGGTATGTAATAAATATCCTTAAGCCCTATCACTTTTAGCAAAGAAGGTTAACTGAATTAGGAGGATGAGAAGAGTCGATAGGGATGGGGAGGTGATTAAGCATGTTGTGTGCATATGTGAATCTGAAAAAATGAAACTCATTAATCTGCATAACCAAAATCCACTAATAAAATGTACCAAAAAGTTGTTTCCTTGAAAAATTGGGAGAAATCCTATCACAACTGAAAACAGAGATCCCTCAGAATGCTACTGGTCAGAAAAGGGGAAATCCAGAATAAAGGCAGGCCTTTCTAAATGTCAGCACACTCAGTTTTTTTGTTTTTCAACTGATCCAAACTAGAGTGAGGTACCTGGAGAGCCAGCTGGAAAGGAGATGGGTGAGTAGACAGGGAATTGTCCCCAGGCTGAAAGAGCCCATCAGGAGGCTTACGGGGTCTTGAAACAGGAGGTATATAGTTTCATTTCCATTTTGAAATTTCCACTGGGAAAGTGCTTTTCAAAGCACCAAAACCCATCAGTGACAAGGATGTGAGGGAATGCCATAAAACTTGTCAGTGTCAGTCATGGGAGAAAATAAATGCTAAAAAATTTGGGAAACTTACTTTGAAGCCTGTACACTTCAGGAAAGAAACTTGGCTCTTTTTATACAACAAAATAATACAAAAACTACCAACTCCTAGAATTTCCCTCTTCTAGAGATATGTTTTATCGTCACTACTCCACAAAGGAGAAATAAACAATCTAAAATCTCCCAAATTTTCTCTGATGAGCAACCACCAGTAAGTAAAAACTGATGTGAGAAAACTAGCAGAGGAGGGACACAGGGGCTTTAGTCCCTATACCCTGCTTTCCAAAGAGAAGAAGCACACCAAAAAGATATTTATGACCAGTAACATCTTTATAGAAATACTAAATGACAGTTACTCTATGGGTACACACCTTGATAGAAATGCAAACCTGGGGTTGACATACTAGCTTCACTCAGAAAATTATCAATGAAATATCAAATCAAGTTTTGGGTTCTGTTAACTAAGAAATACATTATCAATGAGGAAAACAGACAAATCAACAGATGGAAAATTTATAAATTAGATGTATTTTAAAAAAGATGTTAATATGGCATCACTCATGAGTGATACCTTAAATAAAATGTCTTATCCAGTCTGTTACTGTGTACTTTCATTTAATTATAATCAGGCTTGGCATTACATTAATTGATACTATTTTAAGCGGCATGCCTAAAAAGAATGATCAAATTGGAAATCCATAATTTATTAGTTTACTAGTTTGAAATTTTATGTACTAAGTAAAAGCTTTTTAAAATTACTGATTGAAGATATACTACAAAGTAGAAAAAATAAAATGGGCTACACTTCTTACATGTAAGGAAAAATTTTGTCTTCTCAATTTATCTGTTTTTACAAGCATGTTTGTACTATCAAACTAGGCCATAAAGAAAGACAGATGATATCACCCATACATTCAGATTGTCAATAAATTCCAGTTCTATAAGCATCTCAAAGCTAAATTCTAAAAGTACATGTATAAATTATATGTATATGTGTATATATAATGTATATAGGCTACACATATAATCTATATATGTGTTCATATACATAATATAAATGTGTGTGAATGCATATAATCTATATAACTCCGTGGAAGAAACACACTTTGGTATCAATTATTATCAAAAATCCTTGCCCAATAATACATCACTTTTATTAACAGTCCAGGATTAGTTTAGCATCATGTTGAATATTTAAACAGTAAAACAATCCATTTTTAATTCTCAAGGATAGTGCTTTTAAAAGATGATCTCTAACATCTGTGGTTTCATGTGGGACTTAGTCTATATTTCTATAAATGAGAATAATTAATGCATGTGGGGTTCTTGTATTCTAGTATACATCCACAGGTTCCTACCATTCTCATGAAACCACTGGACTGGCAGATGTACTCATGGTTTCAAAGGAAAACACCCTATCTGACACACTTGGAAAAATTCTGGGATCTATGTCCTGTTTCTGCTGCTGCTGCTGCTGGGTAGAGAGTACATCCGCAGTTGGAACAGAATAGGGAGGAGAGATTACAGTAATGCCAGTTGTGGGCTTTCCCTCTCTTCTAAAATTAGGAAGTAAGTGGAAGATCTGCAAATGAATATAAAAGGGGTATTTCTGCTACTACTACAGAAACTTTAGTTATTAAAAGCTCTTCTGGTTTGTCCTACATCTTTTGAACAATAGTTCCCCTGCCATTTTCCAATTTTACAATGTGAATTGGCTGTAGAATCAGAACCTGACATTTTCCTTTGGTGTAAGAAATAAATTTGCATTTTATAAAAACAATTTTACTTTTAACAATTAGTCACATATATAATTGAGTATACTGGTAAAAAATAAGAAGGAAAGGTTGAATGATGAAAGCATTCTGGGCACCCTAATACAGTGGAATGTCAGTGTTACGGGATATGTCAGAGGGGAGCCCTTCTTTTATCAAAATTCCACGAGGTAGCTCTATATTATATAAAATTGGTACCAAATGTATGATGCTGCAGGTTATGGTATTATCACTAGCATCCGAGAAAAATTTAATACAGTCAAGTTAATCACATGAAAAAGCAAATATATTGATTGTGTCTGTGGTATTTCTAATATTTGGAAGATATTATAATAAGTATAAATACTATTTAAATTCTACTAGCTATCGCAGAAACAAAATTAAATAAGGAGTAGCAGTAACAAAAGATTAAACAAAAGCATATTAAATGACAAAGTAGCAAAGCAATAGCAGTAAATCATTAAGGCTAAGAAACATACTATGCTCTAAAAGATACAGAAATATTAAAAATTCTATTAGAATTGAAATGATTCTTATACTAAATATTAAAATAAAAAGGAATACGAAACATAGTCTCTAAAAGCCTGAGAAGGAACACAAAACAGAGGAAATGAAAAACACCTCACTATTCCCAATGTGGTTGTTATTTAGGAATGGATAAAACATGTATAAAATGTCATTACAGTTAGATTAATACATAAAAAATCAACATGCCATATCTACCTAAATAATTTTTGTAAAACAGCTGAAAAAACAAATTTCATAAAATTTAGACAGCTTACAGTGGAATAAATATGCTGAGACACTGACTAATCCTAAATTTCACAACGGGCAGCTTCTAGCCAGTTCCTTGGAGCAGGATCTTGGTCACTCAAGGAACCCTGGACAAGAAATCGGTTGAGTTGGATTGCAGCCACCCAGTTGTCTTAGTAATGAATGCTCCACACTGTCTGTTAAGAGAAAATACAGATTAAAAAGAGGACAAAAAAGGGAGTAAGAGTAGACACCCATACAACATCAGTCACCATTTACTAAATATTTGCAGAATATGTGGTACTAATTAGAGTGCTATGAAGTGTAAGCTAGCAATGAGGAGGGGGTCCAGAATGCAAGAAAGGCTTGCTCTCTGATTTCTGAGAGCTTAAAATCTGTATTAGACAATATCTAATGTCCCAGCGTTGTGTTCAGTATATAAAAGGAGGAATACATCCACATGAACTACAAGTAAGTTATAGCATTTTCTTCTACTAGGTGAGTTTTAAATACTTGTTTCTAAAAGGGGAATACAGTTTGGTAGAAGGTATTTAGAAATTTGTCTAAAACCCAAAAAGGTCCTTTGAGTTGGCTTCCAGAGAGGCATAGGTACTTACGTTGTATAATCTAGAGAGATTTCATACACCTATGCCAACCTGGGACTTTTCTATAATTTTTAGGGCTAGTTGGGTGCTGACCTGGACATCTGGCTCAGGCCAGATCCCCCATAAGATGCACCCAACAAATCATTAAAAGACAGTAACAAATTGTGGCTTTAAGTTACAATTAACTCAAGAGGTCAGCAACATCTTGGTATTGTTTTGAGTTTAGAAGAGTTAAATGGGGAAACTAAATGGTGAGGATTCTGAAAAGGAAGTGTAAGAAACTGTGTACATATGAATTTCTGCTTGAGGAGGTTGTGACCATCACAGAGGGTAACGTTTTAGGATTAAGTTAGGAAGCAAATTAAGGAACTGACATCAAATTCAAACACTCTAAATATGTAAGTGAAAACTGGAAACCACAGTATAGCAGGCAAAGAGAATTGTGCATATTAGTAGTTGTTAAAGAGGAAGAAATACATTTCTGATGGTAATGCTGAAAGTCTGAACTGAATGCAAGGAACAGGAGCCACATCCTAGAATTAATGAAACTGGAGGACAAGCAAGCTGACAGAATTAAGAGAATCGAAAGGATAAGAACTAGCTCAAGACCCTAGGGACCTGAAGAACCCTTGGGATAAGAAGTTATTGCATCTTGGCAATATTCTTACAGGGGTACAGCTGTCCTACCTTATCTGTAGATTTATGCTTTGTACTTTCGGTTACACGTGGTTAAGTGGAACATTCCAGAAATAAATAATTTCTAAGTATAACTTAACAAGCATGATGTAGGTTGTTTGCTGTTCTGAGTAGTGGGATGAAATCATGCAGTGTCTTGCTCCACCGTGCCCTGGTGGTAAATCCTGCCTTTCTTTGCTAAGGACATCTATGCTGTATATGCTGTCTGCCCATTAGTTGCTTAGTGGCTGTAAGAGTTACCAATGACAACTGAAGTGCTTGTACATATGTAGGGTTTGGAACTATTGGAGGTCTCATGCATCTTTAGGGGTCTTGGAATGTGTTCTCCATGGATAAGAGAGAGGGGAATACTGTACTTGGAATAAACTGCAATTACAGATAGAAGAATAATTCATGAGTAAAAAGATACGGCCCATACTCCATGCCCATGCAATTCAGAAACATATCAATTTAAAATTTTAATGAAATGTGGAATACAAAATCCTATTGCTTGCTCTCATCAGGTCTGAGAGGTATGGGTCTAGATAGAATCTTCTGCATGTGCGTAGCCAGTTTTTCTGATACCATTAAACAGACCATCTTTCCTTCAGTGTACGTTTTTGGCCCCTGTATCGTTATTACTGCAGTTTTGTAATATAACTTCAAGGTCCAGAATTGTGACGCCTTCTGTTTTGCTCTTGTTACACCTTAGATTGCATTTGCTATCCTGAGTCTCTTTTGATTCCATATGAATTTTAGGATTGTCTTGTCCAGTTCTGCAAAGAATGCTGTTGGTATTTTGATTGGGGCTGCACTAAAACTGTGCATCAATTTTGCAAGTATGGCCATGTGGACTATGTTGGTTTTGTCTATTCAGAATTAGGGATATCTTTCCATTTTCTGCTATCTTCTTAGATCTTTAGTTTTTATTGTAGAGGAATTAGGTTAATTCCTAAGTATTTAAATTTTTCTTGATGCTATTATGAATGGTATTTTTTCCTAATTTCTTTCTCAATGAGTTCATTATTAGTGCACAGGAGCACTACTGATTTTTGTGTGCTTCGTATCATGCTACATTACTGAATTTGGTAATTAATACTAAGAGTCTTTGGGTGGACTTTTCTGGGTCTTTTATGTAGCGAATCATGCTATCTGCAAATGATAATCTGAATTGTTTCTTTCCTATGCATATTTCTTTTGTTTTTACTGCCTAATTGCTCTTGCTAATGTTCGATTACTAGGTTGGACAGAAGTGATAGTGGACATCCTTATCTGTTTCCTGATTTTAGAGGGAAAACTTTTAGTTTTCTCCATTTTGATGGCGGCAGCGGGTTTGTCATAAATGGCTTTTATCAGATTGAGATAAGGTCCTTCTACATACATATTTTCTTCACTGTTTATCATCATGAAAGGATGCTGGATATTGTCAAAGGATTTTCCTCCATCTATTAAAAATGATCATGTAACTTCTGTCCTTGCTTCTGTTTATGTGATATGTTTATTGATTTGCATATGCTGAGCTATCCTTGCATTCCTGGATATATTGTACTTGGCCATGATGTATGATGTTTTTGATGATATGTTACATTCTGTTTGCCAGTATCTTGTTGAGGATTTTCACATCTATATTTATTAACAAAATTGGTCTATAGTTCATTTTTTTGATTGAATCTTTGTCTGGTCTTGAAGTCAGAGTCGTACTAGCTTCCAGGACTGACCTTGGGAGTACTCTTTCTCTCTCAATTTTTAAAGTGAGCTTGAGGAGTATTGGTGTTAGACCTTCCCTGATGTTTTTGTAGATTTTAGCAGTGAATCCATCCAAATCTGGCCTTTTCTTGGTTTGTAGGTTTTCTATTACTGCTTCAATTGCAATGTCTGTTACTGTATTATTGAAGGTTTTTAAAACTTCTTGGTTCAGTTTTGGTAATTCACATGTACCTAGGAATCTATCCATTTCTTTTATATTCTCCAATTTACTGGTACACAGATTTGCGAAGTAGTTGTTAATAATCTGTTTGACTTTGGCAGTGTCCATTGTGATTTCACCTTTTTAATTTCTTATTAACTTGTCTTTTCTCTCTCTTTTTGGTTAGACTGGCTAAGGGTTTGTCCATTTTGCTAAGTCTTTCAAAGAACCAACTCTTTGATTCATTGACTGTATTTTTTGGTCTCAATTATATTGCTTTCTGCTCTAATCTTTATCATTTTTTTCATTTACTAGTTTTGGGTTTGGATTATTCTTATTTTTCTAGGACCTTGAGATGAATTGTTAGGTTATATATCCAAGCTTGCTCTGTTTTTTGTGATGTGGGCATTTATAGCTATAAACTTCCCTCTTAGAACTGCTTTCATTTTCTCCCTTAAGTCCTGGTCTGTTGTACTGGCATTATCATTTAATTCTAGAAACTGTTCTTTTTTTTTGTCTTTTTGAGACAGGGTTGTGCTATGCAGTTCAGGCTGGCCTTGAGCTCACTTTGTAGCCCAGGCTGGCCTCAAACTCGCAAGGATCCTCCTGCCTCAGCTTCCCGAGTGCTGGGATTACAGGTGTGCACCACCACACCCGGCTCTATTTTTTTCTTGATTTCTTCTGTAACCCATTGTTTGAGAGTATATTGTTCAGTTTCCATGTGTTTGCATAATTGCCGTTTAGTTGCTGAATTCTAGTTTCATTGTGCTATGATCTGATAATACACAATTTCAATTCTTTTACATTTATTTAAGCTTGCTTTCTTGACTAGTATATCATCTATTTTGGAAAAAGTTCTATGTGCTGCTAAGAAGAATGTATATTCTGTTGGAATGTACATTCTTCTGTAGATATCTATTAAGTTCATTTGCTCAAAGGTTGTATTCAACTGATACATTTTCTGTAGTTGATCTATTCGTGATAGCGGGGTATTGTGGTCCCCTTGCTATAACTGTGCTTATCTGCTCTTTTATGTGCAGTAGTATTAATTTTATGGAGTTGGTACATCATTTTTTTGGTGTATACATGTTCGTAGTTGTTATCTCTTCCTGCTGGATTGTTCCCTTGACCAATACATAGTGACCTTCTTTGACTCTTACAATCACAGTTTTGGCCTGAAGTCCACATTGTCTGAATATAGGATAGGCTGTACCTTTTTTATAGGTTCCTATTGAATGGAATATTGTTTTTCATCCTTTCACTTTAGTCTATGACTTCTTTTGGGTCAAATATGTTTCTTTTATACAGAACACTATTGGATTTTGTTTCCTGATTCATTCTGCCAGTTTGTGTCTTTTGATTGGGGAATTAAGACCATTCAGATAGACAGTTATTACTGATAGGTAGTGACTTATTCCTCTCATTGCCTTATTTTCCTGTTGCTAGTTCCCTATCTCTCCCCTCTACCTAACTGCTCACCCTACCTCATGTATACATTCTATTAGACCTTTTGTCATTGTTAGTGTCATTGTCTTTTTCTAGAAGACTTAAAAGGTTTTTGGAGTGCAGATTTAGTGCTCATGAATTTCTTTAGGTGCTCTTTGTCATGAAAATATCTTATTTCTCCATTAATTTTGAAAGGTAAGTTTTGTGGGCTGTATCAGCTTGGGCTTGAAACACTTCACTCCAAATTCTCCTGGCCCTTAATGTTTGTGTTGAGAAGTCTCTTATAATTTTAATAGGTTTACCTTTATATGTAATTCATTGCTTTTGTTTAACCACTTTATAAGATTCTGTTCTTGTGTCAGACTTTTTGAATTTTGACAATAAGGTGATGTGGAGAAGTCCTTTTCTGATTCTATGCCTCATTTATCTGTATATTAAATTCTTTTTCTTTATTTGTAAATTATTCTATTATTTTCAGTAAAGAGATTTTTATTCTATTTGTGCTGTCTTCTGATTTTCACTAATTCCAGTTAATCTTAATTTAGTCTTTGCATCAGCTAGGAGCTGTTGGATCCATTTTTCATGTTCTCTTGTCATTTTGAAGGTTCCTCTCATTAATACATGGATAACAGCTGTATCTTCTAGTTCTGACACACACTGGTTACTTGTGATGCCCATACTTTTTTTTTTGGTTTTTCTCCGGTACTGGAAACCGAACTCATGACCTTGCACTTGCCAGGCAGGCGCTTTGCCACTGAGCTAAATCCCCAGCCCGCCCATACTTTTTGACAGAAGTTTTAATCTCCTGAATTTCTATTTGGAGCCATTTTATGGACTTTCAATTAAAATCACTGACTGTTTTATTTGGCCCAATATCTTATTACTTGTATCTTCTGTGAGGTTTCCAAATGCCTCATTGATCTGTTTTATTATCTCCCTTGGTATCATTTCAAATAATTTGAGTTGCATGGCTTTTGGTTTCCTCCACTTTAATGCCCTATGGATCAGCTACAGGGGAATTAGAGTTTTGGAAGCATTCTTTTGGCTTGTCTTCTCATGCTTCTATTTTTTTGTTTTTGTTCTGAGGGCTGTGGGCTGACTGTAATAGAAAGCTCTGTTTTTAGCATGGAGACCTCTTTAGTTAGTGTCTGCTTTTCAGCAGTGTCTGTGGTTGTGGCTAACTACTGGCCTGTACCTCTGTCCCAGGATCAAGCAACCTACATATATTTGGGATGGGAGGTTGCAGTGTATTGGGCCTGGTACTCAGTTATCCAGGAATGGGCCACAATGTTGTTCATATCCCCAAGGCAAACCAGACATTGACATCCCAAGAAAACCAATTAATATGAACAGTTATGTCACCTTTGCTGTAGTAATAAAATCAGCATCAATTATAGCCTCAATGGTAGGACCATTGTCAGTACTCAGTTTGTGTTTGACGCTATAATTGATACAATAAATTATAGAGAAGAGATCTCTTTTCTATAGTTTTAAACTAGAAGAAATAAATTTTAAATTAAGAATGCTTAACATTCCCCTAACCTGTACTACTCACAATTCCATTATCTTATTTGAGTTATTCAACCAGTATATTTTCAAATATTTGTGATTCTTTTTCTCTCACTGAAAAATACTTAGTAGCTACCCAATACACCATCACAATATCAACTATTTCTACAGATGTGTATTTGGAAAAATTGTTAACATCAGAGGAAGACTGTTTAAGAGATTTTATAACAATGCTAAAATATGAAGCGTCTATAAGGTTTAGTAAAACTCAGGACTGACATGAGCCCAAAATTGTAGTTTTATTTTGTGTTTACACTGTGGTGGTAGGGAGTGAAGATATTCAAAGTGTAGTCACAACAGTGAGTGTAGATTGGGTGAGGAGAGGCTCTTTGGTGTAGATGGTGTTGGCACTGAGTTCAACACATATGATGGGTCAGAAGTATGAATATCAGTGTGAAGCAGCTCATCTCTGTCATTTTATTGCAAAGAGTATGCCTCCTTTCCTTGTCAAACTACTATGCACATGAAAATTATGTTGCCATCTCAGTATTAACCAATTTGCAGTTCCTTAGTAGAGATAAAGTCCATTTCTCAAAAGTCATGATATAAAGATTTCACTAAGAAACTTAGTTAATAAAGAGATAGGAGGGTATTCTTGTTATACTGTGGACAACCAAATTATATACACATGCACACCTAATACAGTAGTTCATCATTCTTTGCCCTGAACCTGATTTAGGGAGCATGAACATGTATCTAATCAGAAAGAGCAGCTCATTAACTGTTTTCATCTCCCGATAAATTTTAAGTGATGTAAACACAGATATTCAGAATCTGAGTATATAAAGTATATATGTAGAATGTGAATATTCATAGAGACTGAATGTAGACTAAAGGTTATCAAGGACTGGAGGGCTGGTGGATGATTTACAGCTTAATGATAAGTTTCTACTTGGGCGACAGAAAGGTTTGGACATGGTGATTATCTGTACATCATTGTGAATGTAATTAATGCCACTGACTTATATACTAAGAATGGTTAAAATGGTAAACTTTAAATTTATACTTATTTTACCACAATAAGCAAAATATTTGGGCCATGTATGATTCATAATGTCTTTAAAACTAATTAACAGGAATTATAATTAACTTGCAACTGTATTTCTACAACATGAATGAATTCTATACTTCTGATCAGGAATGTGATAAAAATACCATTTCTCTTCAGAAAGGAAATTTGGAAAACGACATACAATTGAAGAAAAACAGAAAAAAGAATCAACATAAACTTCTTACTTTAATTGCTTCAGTCTGCATCACAGGCGCAGGCATAGCAAAGGCACTTGGAGCATAAACCTGGTGATATGTTGCTTGAACTCCATGATCAGAATAAGGCTATTATAAAAGGGAGCGGGGTGTAGGGAAGGAGGGAACGTGAGGGGAGAGAGATTATTTTCATTTATTAATTAAAAATTCTAATTTAGCATTACAATGTGCTAAGCATTCTGCTACACAATGAAAAGAAACATAAAAATGCTTTATGTCTGATCAGTTAACATCTAGTCTGAGCAAGAAACAGACAGTAGTCAAATCACCCTATGTCCCAGAAGATACGTATATGCTATAGGTTCATGGGAAAGAAAAGGAGTACTTGGTGTTCCTTAAGAAAGATAGGGAGGGTGTCAAGGACCTTTCCTTTGGGGGGCTGATGCCTGACTTTGAAGAATTAGGGAAAGAATGAGGGAGTAGCGTCATCAAAGACACAGAAAGAAGTAAGAACACATCTCAGTCTGGGATCTGCCCAGGTAGTTCGTTAGGCTGGAAGAAGGATCATACACTGTAAGACAGCTGAAGAGGGGCACTGGAACAACAGACAGGGAACAGAATATGTAAAATAGATGTATGGCTTGTCTAAGATGAGACACCGTTGACTGGAACACAGGAAAGTCTGACGTTTATGTAATCGTATGTAAAGGGGCTGGATAGGAGTTAGGCTTTTGACGTGTACAAGTTAGGTTATTTGTAGGAATTCTAGTAAAGGAAATGTAATGTGGACTACATATGTAACTTGAAATTGTCCAGGAGTCATGTTAGAAAAGAGTAACAGGTGAAATTACTTTTTAGTAATATGTTTTATTTAAACCAGAAGGTTTAAACTATCATATCAAAAATATATACAGAATTAAATTATTGCCCTTTGGAGGGGTGCACTTCACATGTATGTGACATCTCAATTTGACCCTGCCACCGGCAAGTGCTTATGGCCACATGTGGTGAGTAGCTATGGTACTGCATAGGCGGTCTGAAACGCAAGCGGGAGGCAGGTGGGGATCACAGCAAAGTAGTGAATATAGAGGGCGAAAGAATGGAGAGCCAAACGAGAAGTCATGGGGAGCAGAAGATTAGTTTACAAGGGAAAAAATAAAAGGAGAAAAACGAATCCCAGGAAAGAGCAGTATCATGAGAACCAAAGGGAGAACCTCAAAGAATATGTATAGTGTCTCTGAGAGGTTAAATAAGATTAAAGAGGTAGAATGATTCGACAACAGGAAGTCTCTGAGGACCTTTTTCAAAGGTTTTTCAAAGGCAGCTTCAGCAGACGGTAATGAAGCAGACTCAGTGGGTATGGAATGAGTGGGTAACGAAGCAGTAGGAATAGTGAATGTAAACAACTTGTTCAAGAATCTTGGCTTTGAGAGGTAGAAGAGAGTTAGGACATGGCAGGATTGTATCATAGGATAATAACTGCCTTTTACAAGGTGCTAGGCATTAAACAAAGAACTTTGTATACAATATTCCCTAATCTTTCATCTTTAAAAAACACATTTTTTT